CGTCTAGCGCGCTGCTGGTGGTGGTATTCGGGTCCGTGTTCGTGATGTTCTTCCCCATGTCGCTCGTGCTCGTGGAGCTCGGCTGGCTGCTGGAGAGAGCGCTCGCCCGCGGCTGCCGCCTGAGCAGGCGCACGCAGACAAATGCCGGCAGCGTGACCCGGCGTCAGGAGCAGATGAAGTGGGTGAGGGGCCTGTCCGCGACAATGCTGCTCTCGCTGATGGCGCTGGTGTGGATCGCGCTCGGTCCGGCGCCGTGTCTTTGAGCTTTTGTCACGGACGTTGTTATCGGAAGTCGCTCTCATTCAAAGTTAGAAACACAAGGTGACGACAGACGACACAGGATGCGTAGTCTGATGTGTTTTGCGATAAGTTACTTGAAATAACTAGCTCACCAATTTACCAATATCCATCACCAAATCCTCAACATACCAAGAACACAGATGCAGGAACCTAACGTGGTCACTTTAGTCTAGCACTTTAGCTGTGGCGAGTTTGGATCTAAACCAGCCCCAAAGAGTTGAAATGTGTCCGATGTCCGTGAGTCTTTCTCAATTCTCACGAACGTTCTTATCAGAGTCGTTATCGGTTCAAAGTTAAAAAACACAATGTGACGACTGCATACTCCCAAGTTTTTACGTGAACAAGAAGGCACAGAAGTTACAGCCCATACGAAAACAATCAGTACGGAAATCCTAAACTAAATTATCACGTTGCTGAGATTCCTTGATCACCCATCAAGTGTAAGGATTTTTAATTGACCCCGAAATCTGGTTCAATCGCTAAGTCAATCTATCAATACTTCACAATTTTTCGGAACTTGTTTGCACGCACAAGCTTCCCCACAAATTAAAAAGGGCTCTCCTTTCGGATCTTCTGATATGACCACGTCACATGCTCTGATCTGCCACAACCATTTTGTTTTTTTGGAAGGGTCGATCAAACTTTCCTCTCAGAAATGGAACACTACTACTGCTAATCACTAGACCATCAGTAGTACTACCATTTTCAGATATAGACTGCAGCACTCCAAGCAGAAAGCAAGAGGTGCCAGCGATGGCTTCGGCGGATCTCCCGGAGGTCGTCGAGCGCACGAAGAAGAGCAGCGTCATGTATGCCTTCATCTGCTCCATCCTCGCCTCCATGGCCTCCATCATCCTTGGCTACGGTACACTGCAGGACTGACGATTCACGTCACTAAATCATCGTTCTTTTGATCTGCAATACATGGGGTCACAATATTTTTCGCACTGTTTAACTTGGAAGATATCGGGGTGATGAGCGGCGCGGCGCTGTACATCAAGAAGGACCTCAAGATCACGGACGTGCAGCTAGAGATCGTGATGGGCATCCTCAATTTCTACTCGCTCATCGGCTCCTTCGCGGCGGGGCGGACGTCCGACTGGATCGGCCGCCGATTCACCGTCGTCGTTGCGGCCGCGTTTTTCTTCGTCGGCGCCTTGCTCATGGGTCTCGCCGGCGACTACGCCACGCTGATGCTTGGCCGCTTCGTGGCCGGCGTCGGCGTGGGCTACGGGCTGATGATCGCGCCGGTGTACACCGCCGAGGTGTCCCCGGCGTCAGCCCGCGGCTTCCTCACCTCCTTCTCCGAAGTGTTTATCAACATCGGGATCCTCCTCGGTTACGTCTCCAACTATGCCTTTGCCCGCCTGCCGCTCCACCTCAGCTGGCGCATCATGCTCGGCATCGGCGCGGCGCCGTCCGTCCTGCTGGCGCTCCTGGTGTTCGGCATGCCCGAGTCCCCACGATGGCTCGTCATGAAGGGCCGCCTCGCGGACGCCAGGGTCGTACTGGACAGAATCGCCGAGACGCCGGAGGAGGCTGCGGAACGCCTGGCCGACATCAAGGCCGCCGCCGGAATCCCGCACGAAGCCGACGGCGACGTGGTTGCCGTGCCCAAGAGGAAAAGCGCCGAGGAGAAGCAGGTCTGGAAGGAGCTGATCCTGTCCCCGACCCCGACCGTGCGGCGCATCCTGCTTGCGACGCTTGGCCTCCAATTCTTCCAGCAGGCTTCAGGCGTTGACTCCGTCGTGCTGTACAGCCCGCGCGTGTTCCAGAGCGCGGGCATCACCGACGACGACCAGCTCCTTGCCACCACCTGCGCCGTCGGCGTCACCAAGACTGTCATCGTGCTGTTGGCCGCGGTCCTCCTCGACCGCGTCGGCAGGCGCCCGCTGATGCTGACCAGCTCCGGCGGCATGGTCGTCTCGCTCATCGGCCTCGCCACAGGGCTCACCGTCGTGGGCCGGCACCCGCACACCGAAGTTCCCTGGGCCGTGGCCCTGTGCGTCACGTCCACTCTGGCCTTCGTGTCGTTCTACTCCATCGGCCTCGGGCCCATGACGGCGGTGTACACCTCGGAGATCTTCCCGCTGCGGGTGCGCGCGCTGGGCTACGCGGTCGGCGTGGCGTGCAACCGCGTGACGAGCGGCGTCGTCTCCATGACCTTCCTGTCGCTGTCCAGCGCCATCACCATCGGCGGCAGCTTCTTTCTCTACGCCGGCATCGTCACTCTCTCGTGGGTGTTCTTCTTCACCTGTCTCCCGGAGACGCGCGGCCGGACGCTGGAGGAGATGGGAGAGCTGTTTGGCACGATTGACGCGGGCACCGAAGCAGATGATGCCTCCGCGAGACTCCTTGCGTCAGAGTTGACCACATGATACTCCTTTTTTGCTTTGGTTTGTCTGCACGTAAGTGTGCAATTATATGTAAAGTGTTCGTGAATGTACTTTATGACTACAGTATATTCAAAAATAGAGTATGGCTTGAACCGTGTTATTTGAGGGTGGGGTGTGGCATGGTCTTTTGCTACGACACAGCACAAAAATATTTTGGTCCTGCTGCGAGATGGATTGCATGGTGTGGCCCATATTTTGGGCCGTGCTTGTCCAACACATCACAAAAATGGCACGTAAGTGTTTGGGCTAAAGCAAAGACTTGTTGTGTTATACCAGCACGGCTCGACATGCATCACATGTCTAGAAGTCACTATCGGAAATGCATGAACCATGATAGGGCCGGCACGGCAAAATCCAAGTCCCACCTCTACTCAAAAGGAGGTTCATGGGTCTGCAAGCGGCCTGCTATTTCATCTCGGCCCAGGCACCAAATGGGTTGATGCTAATCATGCCTATGCCAGCTTGTCCCAACATGATTAATGGCCTGGCTCGATGTGACCCGTTAACCTTCCACCCTATATATGTTTTGCTCTTGCTGACCTTTCCTCCCTAAGCGTATCGCCATGCTCCCATCCTTGTAGCGGCGCAGGCGCTCCTGCTGTCCTGCATCGCTTCCTTGCTCCTCCTCGGCTATCAATCTCTCTTCTCATCCCTCTCTGTCACTAGGTCTACACTGTCGGTCGTTGCAGCCGCTTGTTTTAGCCTTCTTTCCTGTATCCTCTCCTCCCCTGTCTTTTTCTGAAACATCTGGAACCTTCAGATTCCAAGCATATATTAGGGAAAAAAAAGAGAATTGACTAAGTTTATAATGCAAAATGGGTCCAAAAACCATCTCTCGCCATCTTTACTCGTCGGTGGTGAGCCATGATCTAAATGTCGGGTCCCTCCCCTTACACATAGTCTCCCTCTATTCTCGTAGATCCGTGGATCTTGTATATGAATGGTAACTTCGTTGCTGCAGTCCTGCAAGTAAGCAAAACCCTAATCCTAACTCTGTCTTCGTCTTCTTCTCTGTCTTTAATGAGCAAGCTTAATAATAGAGACAAATGTTTGGCTATTAGCCAAGCTATACAATAGTAGTATCTTATTTATCTATAAAAATTTAACACTTTTATATTGTTATTTTTAGCTATGTCCTATATTCCCTTTTCTAATCCTCCTCACTTTCACTTAATGTATGAGTCCACAATTGTATATGCTTTTGGTGCCCAGCTTGTTGCATATATGAGAGCCAAGCTCTCCTCTCTTCTCTCCTCCATATCAGGCTATAAGCCAATTCAGTGGCGGACCCAGCTCATGAGTCGAGCCTAGGCAAATCGCAGGGCGTTGATGAGACCATGTGTCTTGAAGCTTGCTACATACGGTGCTACAACAAAAACTCTAGCATGCATGCTGGAGCTTGGGCAGGTGCCTAGGGTCGCCGGACCTGGGTCCGCCATTGAGCTAATTATTATACTTGCTCTAACTCATCTAGGGTTAACTAGCTAGTTGGTAAATATTAAGTTAAAAATTTTGACTAGTCTATTTATTAGGCCTATTTTGAATAGGCTAGGACTAAAAATTAATTAGTTAACTATTACCCCTGTACATTCAAACAGGAGGTCATTAACGCATGGTCATAGCAGACAAGCAGGCATTCATGTCCGTATACTCCCTGTGACTGCTGCAATGGACGGATTGGGTATAATATGAGAAGGCAAGTTTGGGTTTATTGTGGTCGATGTTAATAAATTTTAGATTTGCCATGTGCGCGCTCATTTTTAAAAGAAAGATGTCACTATTTATTTAGTGATAAATGGTTGCCTGGTGGGTACGCAGATGCGCTTGCGTATACATTTCGTGAAACAAATTATCGTGAAAATAAAGTTCGCGGTCCAAGGCCACGTCCCTGTTGACCAGAATAGGGCCCAATGATCACATCTTCTACCAGACCCATTTCTCGTTGTCCATATATACGGCGTTTCCTTCAACACAAGTACACAACACACCACCTTGTGTCCTTGTCTCTAATCGCTAATCAGAGACCACTGTTAATGATGGCTTCCGCCGAGCCCAGGAAGAAGAGCAACGTCAAGTATGCCTCCATGTGTGCCATCCTCGCCTCCATGGCCGTCATCATCGTTGGATATGGTACCCATGCATACGGCCCATATCTTTCGTTGTTTCCATTTTGCTTTCTATGAGTTTTGTAGGTGAAGTTTGTGTATGTGTATCCAACTATTTGCAGACATTGGGGTGATGAGTGGAGCAGCAATATACATCAAGAAGGACCTGAAGATCACGGACGTGCAGCTGGAGATAGTGATGGGCATCTTGAACATTTACTCGCTCATCGGGGCCTTTGCGGCAGGGCGGACGTCCGACTGGATTGGGCGCCGCTTCACTGTGGTCTTCGCCGCTGCCATCTTCTTCGCCGGCTCGCTGCTCATGGGTTTCGCCGTCAACTACGCCATGCTCATGGCGGGCCGGTTCGTGGCTGGCGTCGGGGTGGGCTACGCGATCATGATCGCGCCCGTTTACACCGCCGAGATCTCGCCGGCGGCAGTCCGCGGCTTCCTGACGTCCTTCCCGGAAGTGTTCATCAACTTCGGTATCCTGCTCGGCTACGTGTCGAACTTCGCGTTCGCTCGCCTTCCCCTCTACCTCGGCTGGCGCGTCATGCTCGGCATCGGCGCGGCGCCGTCCGCCCTGCTTGGGCTCATGGTGTTCGTCATGCCCGAATCACCTAGGTGGCTCGTCATGAAGGGCCGCCTCGCGGACGCCAGAGCGGTGCTGGAGAAGACCACTGAGACGCCAGAGGAGGCCGCGGAACGCCTAGCCGACATCAAGGCTGCGGCGGGGATTCCCAAGGACCTCGACGGAGACGTGGTCACCGTTCCCAAGGAGCGAAACGGTGGTGAGAAGCAGGTGTGGAAGGAGCTCATCGTATCCCCAACCCCGGCCATCCGACGCATACTGCTCTCGGCCGTCGGCCTCCACTTCTTCCAGCAGGCTTCTGGCACCGAATCCGTCGTCCTGTACAGCCCGCGCGTGTTCAAGAGCGCGGGAATCACCGACGACAACAAGCTCCTGGGCGTCACCTGCGCGGTGGGCGTCACCAAGACGCTCTTCATCCTGGTGGTCACGTTCCTGGTCGACAGAGTCGGCCGGCGGCCGCTCCTACTGAGCAGCGTGGGCGGCATGATCATCTCGCTCGTCGGCCTCGGGACGGGCCTCACCGTCGTGGGGCACCACCCGGACGCCAAGATCCCGTGGGCCGTCGCCCTGTGCATCCTGTCCGTCCTGGCCTACGTGTCGTTCTTCTCGATAGGGCTCGGGCCCATGGGGTCGGTTTACCCCTCGGAGATCTTCCCGCTGCGGGTGCGCGCGCTGGGCTTCGCGGTCGGCGTGGCCAGTAACCGCGTTACCAGCGGCGTGATCTCCATGACCTTCCTGTCCCTCTCCAAGGCCATCACCATCGGCGGCAGCTTCTTCCTCTACTCTGGCATCGCCGCGCTCGCGTGGGTTTTCTTCTTCACCTACCTCCCGGAGACTCGAGGTCAGACGTTGGAGGAAATGGGCAAGCTGTTCGGCATGGAAGACACGGACATGGCTGAAGCAGAAAACACCGCTGCCAAGGAGAAAGTAGTGGAAATGCCCACGAGCTAGAAGGAAACCAAGAAACAGCTTCCGCAGCTTCTGTCTCACAGAGCCGAGCTATTCACCTCTCAGGTGCCGTGCTGCTGCAGCCTGCACGTAGGACAGTCCGACGGTGACGGTGACGGCGAGGCCCAACCCGAGGACTCTTGTGCATGGTTTGATGGTTACAAGAAATTTCTTAATTCTTCTGCTCTTCTGTTTGTCCTGTTCGTCGTGTACTCGTTTATGTGGAGCGCGCGATGGTGTGAACTATTGTTGTCAGTGTCGCGTGTGCTTTACGGTCTGCTCTTCTGTTTGTCCTGTTCGTCGTGTACTCGTTTATGTGGAGCGCGCGATGGTGTGAATTATTGGTGTCAGTGTCGCGTGTGCTTTACAGCGTGTTTGGCGTAGCTCCACACAGCTTCAGATTCTAAAAATAGCTCCACTCTGATTTTTTTCAGGTAAACGGTTTCAGCTCCAGCAACTTCGACGCAGATCTGCTCCACAAAAACGGTGGATCTGCCTCCAGATCCATAGATTTCCTGGAGCACCTCAAGGGGTGCTCCACCAAATCCAAGTTTCGTGGAGTTGAGTGAAATTACCCACCGCTGCCACTGGTAAGTGGAAAATAACCGGTTCATTCTATTTTTTTCTTCTCTTTCTCCCGTCGCGTCTTCTTCATCGCGAGTTCGCGATCGGCCACCGTGCTGCCTGGCTGTGGCCGAGCCCGGCAGTGGCTCGCCGTCGGCTGCCGCCCGCCCGCCAGTGAGGTCGCGCTCGCCCGCCTAAGCCCCGCCCTCGCCACCCGCCGACGACGCCGCGCTCGTCCACCGGAGCCCCGCCGAACACCCCCTGGCCGACCGCCACCGAGGCCGCACCAAAACCCCAGCCCTAGCCCCGGTGCCGAGTGCCGAGCGCCTGCCGCGCCCCCTGGCCGGCCGCCGTACCCGAGCCCTGGCCGGCCGTGCCCGCTCCCCGACGTAGCGACCCGGCGAGGCCTCGCCCGGCGGCCGGTGAGGGTGTGCTGGTGAGGCTGGCCGCCTGCTGGCGAGGCCGTGCCCGCCCACCGGCGAGGCCGCGCCCACCCTCCGCCGAGGCCGCACCTGCGGCGAGTCCGTGCAAAGGCCGCACCCGCTGTGAGGAAGAAGGTGTTTTTTTATTCTGATGCGTGGGCCTAAATTGCCACTGAGATAGAAACGAGAGTGGAGCTGTACCAAACGCTTTTTGAGATTCCAGATCCACGGTGGAGCTGCTCTACGGTGGAGGTAGCTGAATCTGTAGATCTGGAGCTATTGTTTTTTTTCAGAGCTAGAGCTCTGCCAAACAAGCTCTTAATTTGCAAGTTACAAAGCCATTGGTTATACCCATCACGACACGCATTTTGCTCTTTGAGTAAGCTATTGAAATACTAGAGCTAATCTAATTAATTAACTAATACCAGAGAAATTTAACTCTTGTGGTCAAGCTAATAAATAGTGGATAGCCATTTCATAGCGGACTGGAAAAACTGGCGCGGCCCTTTGCCGCGCCCTACTTGAGCGTGCCTGCTCATGGTACAGTACATTTGCTGTAGTCCAGTGGATGAACTCGTTTCGTTGGGCTATTGTATGCTACTAGTATCAGAGCGCGCGCCTTCGCGCGCCCGTGTAGCAGTATTAGGGAGCGACTACATATCTTCCGGATGATTTTATTTCAGTCCATCAATCAGATTTATATCCAATCATTACATGACGCCTAGTTTCCTGAAAGCAGAGCAAAATCTGGTAGATAAAGGCAATTGCACCCAGATTTTACAGGAAAATAAAACAATAAAGAGTGAATGAAATTACAACAATCGACAACCAGATCTAATCAAATATGCGACCTCCTCACGTGTAGCAACAATTCCACCATCAGCTTTACATGCGCAGCAGAGAGAAAATCTTGCAAAAAATAAGTAAATCCTCATTTGAATAAAAGAGATACAAATGAAATGAAAGATAGAATAATCAACATTAATGGAAAATACATTGTTATGGTCACGCTCATGTTCAAGTTGACGTGATGAGCTCCATCTAAATTTGATATTTAAAAAATCATACAGTTACAACTTGCAAAAGCTACCATACTGACAAAACTGAGATGTCAATTACTAAAATTATTTACTTATGTACACAAAGAATTAGAGATCAAAAGTACTGAAAAACTACCTTGCCAAGATAGCTCCTTCCATTTTTTGTAAACCTACTCACTTGAATACTTGTTCTAGCTGCTAATCAAGAAAACCGACTTGATGCAATCATTGAGCAGAGAAATAGTGAAACTGAGTATAGGCAATTTAATAGTAATAAAGCGAATTTTCTTGACACAAAATATTCAAACACGACACTCAAAAAAACATAATAGAGTATTCACTATTGCATGAAAGTGACCTTCACAATTTTAAGCATCCTGATGCACCATCCCAACTTGCATCACAAGATACTCGACTATTTTACTTCTATTTAGTTCTTGAACGAGTTTTTGAAAGCTGAACCAAACTGTAAGTACAAAGCACAAAAAAAAAACTGCTAGGCGAGGTTCAAACCTCTTAGCTGCAGTTAGTCACGGCAAAGGAAAAGGAACCAGTTGCAACCAAATCAAAGGATTTGACTAATATTGTCGTTCTTCTTACCTAAAAGACGGGAAGCAGCTAACATGCCCATGAAACCGCTACACCCCAACGTAAAAAATAAGAATGAACTCAAAACTTATTAACCGAAACTAATAGCAGCATTTACCTTGCCTGAACTAATAGGAACATTAACTGTAGCATGAAAGGGATATCAAATGTTTCTCTATAGAGTCAATCTTACAAAAGAAGAATCAGTGTACAACTCTAAGTAAGAATCAACTCTAAGTTGTCGTTATCCTCGTCACCTGTTTGTTTGTTTTGTTGGTTCCCCTCATCACCTGTTTTTTTTATTGTGTTGGTTCCCACTCGTGTGTGTACAAATATCTGTCTTAGTAGTTAAGATGAGAAGCAGGATGAGAAGCAACTTCGCTGGGAAGCCGCTTCAACAAATCTTTTTGAACTTAGCCTAAAAATATTAGACTTTGCTCTAGGCGCAAAGACAAAATTGTGAAGACTCATTTGGATGGGCTAGATAAAAATGTTAGGATGGATGTTTCTTTTGTAAAAAAAAGAAAAGTTATTTTTCCTATAGCGCAAAGAACCTTCTTTATTCAGAACGTTCTTTGTTGATATAATAAGATTAAGGCTATGAAAGGCAACAATGACAGGTATGATATACATACGAAAATGTTTGGGCTATGTCTACATGAATTGTGCTACTTGAGCAGAGACCAAAATTGGAAGCCTCATCAATTTAATATAGCATTCCACTATGGTTAGGTTAAAAAAATAGAGCATCATCAGCATGCTAAATCATTTTGTGAAACCTGGTTGGTGGTTGACTGAAAGAATTCAAAGGAGAATACGTAGCATATTTTTTTAGTGTGATAGGTTGCATGGAAGTCTCTAAATAACCAATTCCAGATTTGAGCGACGATCTAAAATAAAGGGAACTAATTAAAAAATAGATGTGAAGCATGTATTTTACCTCCGCAGGCTTACACCTTGAGGCCGAGTGATCCAAGCGATCCAGGCAATGATGATTCACTTCTTTAGCATTTGAATAGAATTAGAGTTTTCGTAGTCTTTGACAGGGAAAATGAAAGCACGTTCTCAAGTGATATATTGTGCACTCACAGATTGCATAAATCTGTTAGTTTGTGATAGAGCGCAGGTCTAAGCATTGGGGTAATAATCATATTAGACTCCAACAGGTGATAATATTTTTTATCATAACCTGCTGATGCAATGCAACTTATACGCAACAATCTTATGTGATGACCATAAAGGAAATTACCTATCAGCTGGAAAAAATTGTCTGAACAGAGATCCTTTCCAAGCATTACATATAGCTTCTTCTGAGTTTCTGTACATAATAGAAACAAATATGCAGAGGATAATAATCATTCTAGAGTACAGTAACTTTTAGTTGGTAAAAGTCTTCGTATGGATTAATTGCTGAAATTACATTCTCACTAATACCAACATTTAAGAATAAGAAAAATAACAGAGAACTTGCAAATGTCTCTTAACAATCAGATGCCACCAATAATGGAAATTAACTATTGACAAAAATACACCATGAATAATTCCTATTCATATGAACTGATCGAGTTTTATTCTCTGCATCAAATTCTGACTCCCCTAGAAAAGAGGACCGGAGATAATGAGACTGTACCAGGAGAAGCTAGAATAGCTCGTCGCAAAAATATGCTGCGTGCCCATCAGATATGTTAACAATGTAACTATTTTTAGCAAACAATAGACATGTTTATGGCAAATAACATAATGAGAGTGAAGGAAAATAAATAGAGGGAAAATATAAAAGTGCAAAAAAATGTCAGCTATTTGTTCTTTTCAAGGCATTATAACATTGAGTATTCTGAATTGGTGCTTTGGATGTATGGAAGTGAGGTTTGACATTATAGATCATGTTGGATGTATGCGGTAATTTTTTGCCAGAGATAATTTGGAAGAACACTAAAATTGGATGTTTGGAACTATTTATTGGCCCTGGGTCCATTTTTATGTGCTACATTGTTGTATTTGTAAGCTTTCTTTCTACAAATACTGAAACAAATAGGGAAAAAGTTCATCAAAACCCATATATCTCTTCTGTAGGGATACTCTTCACCAACCTCAAGTAATCAAAACGAAATTTGAGTAAACAACTTGCAGAAAACAATGCACTTCTTTGAATTTTGAACCTTTTCAAACACCAAACACCAAAAAATCAATCGGAGGAGAAGGTACCAATGTTAATTGGCGATCCTAAACTAAAGTACATATATTTACATTAAAAGTGTCAAGCGAGTATATTACCAAATGCTAATTGGTAGATCCTAAACTATCTTACCTTTCAAATTAACACACGATATCGTAAGCACCGGTGAATCTTGGAACAACATAGCACTCAGTATAGGAAAAAAATAATTTT